ATATATATCAACCACTCACCATTCAACCGTCGCAATCCGGTCGCTTCGTCGCCGCTCTGCACCAGCAGCGAAGCGTAGCGCTTCTGTGTGGCGAGATAGGTGGGGTACAGTTGCAGTGATGTCTTGCAATCGTTGACGGCGTGTTGGAGGTCTTTAGTGGCCCAATATGCGGCTGCTCGATTGTTCAGCAATATTCCACGGTATCGTGCATTGCTCTGAGGAGGGATGGGGTGGATGGGGTGGATGAATGATTGGCGTATGATGTGAGAGTGTATTGATTGGGTGTACATGGTACTGTTGTGGTGTGTTGCTCTGAGGAGGGATGGGGTGGATGGGGTGGATGAATGATTGGCTTATGATGTGAGAGTGTACTGATTGGGTGTGCATATGTATGGGTGGATGGGTGATTGGTTTATGATGTGAAGGTGTTTTTGTGGGTGTGCATGATACTGTTGTGGTGTGTTGGTGGTCTTTTGTAGCACATTGTAGAGGTAGGCTAGTTGTATTGGGTGTCATGGTACGTTGCTCTAAAGTGTGAGTGCATGTTGACTATATAAATAAACCCCGTGCATGCACTCAACAGGAAAAAATACATTCTAGAAGCAGACAACAAACACACTACTGAGGCAGACACTTTTTTATGGACACGCCCGACATACACACACACTTAAACGCACTTACAAATACAAACACAGCATACACCAACCGGCAACATGACCATACCCACATGATGCATGAGAGCACTTACTTGAGCCAGCTCAACGGCAGTGGTGTAGTGTTGAATTGCGTGTTTGTAGTCACCCTGAGTGTACGCGTCATTGCCCTTCTTTCGCCTGAATGAGAGAACGTAAACGCTGAATGACTGTGACTGATACGAAATTATGCTATCACCAGAGGAGATACGGGTATGAAGTGAGGTTTAACATACACGTATATATACTCCTCAAGCTAATCTACACATACAAGCACTCCTCGCGTGGTACATATCGAAGACATGCCGTACTTAACTGAAGAATGGCAGGTGCCTCATTATATGTAGACGTATGATACGTATTTGACTTTCACTTAGCAGAACACTCAGTGCACAATCGAGTATCGATGTGAGATCGCACGCGCGGTACTGGGCTTTGGGGAATTATGTCGATACACCACAGGCGAGGATAAGCTATAACACAAACAGCCCGACACGGAATGTGATAGAAATATGACTTAAAACGCCACAGGAGAGGATAGGGTATAATACAAACAACCCGACACGGAATGTGATAGAAGTATAACTCAAATGTGATGTAATCAAAAGGGAGAGAATGCGAACTATCGGTCTATTTTATTGAAGAACAATGCAACCTGCACAACACAAGCCATGCAACAATACATACACACCCACAACACAAACCATGCAACAATACATACACACCCACAACACAAACCATGCAGCAATACATACACACTCCCAACACAAACCATGCAGCCAGCGACTTATGCCCAATACAGCGCGGTGCGTGTTATTGCAACAAACCATCGCATATGTGTACACTGTAATGTCATAAACTACGCCCTGTGCATGTGACACGTACGTGAGGATTACAGGTTACAGTAGTGAGTTGGTACCCAGAAGACTTACATGGACTCGAGCTTGCGCATGTGCTGCATGCATTGCTTCAGGCCGCTAAGTATGTCCTGTTGTGTCTGTAGGAGGAAAGGTTAAACGTTCAGCATCGAAGTGAGCACCGAACTTCTCAGAGGAACGTTTTGCAACAATGCCTTCTGCATAGACCTAGTTATCAAACATATGACATTTATGACACTGTCGAAATGTTGGGAGCTATATACACCACTCGGCGTTTAGTGTATGATAATCCTTTTGCTGCTCACATAGCGCGTGCTTAATAGATGAGACAGTTCGATGCAACGGTGATGTTTCATTTTGGCGTCATCAGAAACAAAATGATCCTTTATGCACAATGCTACCGAATTTCTAGGGCTTTGGGGTTCCACATTTTTATATAGCTAACAGCTATAAGCTTAGAGATCTGAAGAAAATAAGCCAGCTATATATATATATAGTGTGTGTGTGAGTGTGTGTGTGTGT